CCATGGGACCACGGGTCTGTCCTGATAAGGGTGTCTCTAACGAGGATTTGTTAGACGCGTCCTGAAATTTAGCCTGGCTCGACTCATGGTTCCCTTCGTACTCCCATTTCTGTCTGTCTTTGTTTCTTTCTTTTTTTTTGCTATACACAACCGGGCCAGACCCTCCATATATTCAATGACTTCTCTGGAGTCATTTGATCACAAGCGTAGACTGTTGCGGGATGAGAACGAAGTGCCGACGATCGGAGGGTTAAGTGGCTAATTGGGCCGATATCACACGTGAAAATACTAGAGATGAATATAGAAGCTGTTTTTGGTCACGGCGACGTCTGTTAGTGTGTCATGTGTGAGTGTTGTTCTTCGTTGATCAGGACGTGAGGTCGCGGGTGGACTCATCATAAGTCGCAAAAGAGACGTCGCTCGTGAGTGGACATGCGAGCTGAACCGCACTGACAGGCTGTCAAACCGACCGCGACACTAACGCGTCATGTAACAGTACTTCAAACCAATTCGGGACTCAATGTGACTTACTTGAATACTTAGCAGCGGATTCTTGTTGCTGCACCCAAGTGGGCATGCTTCCAGGGGAGAGCGCATGTAACTAATAGCCAACCTCTTCGACCGGGATCCAGATCGAGCTCGACTCTACATATGCAAGTAGATCTGAGCATGTCCTTGTCGCATCTACCTCGTACGGGAAAGGCAAGACGTACTTGTTGTATCAAAACTCGACTGATGATGACCTCAGCGTTGAGATCTCCAAGAGCGTACGTCGAGTTGCATCGCGCAGCCTTGAGACAGGTCGTCAATCGTGGGCTCTCGCAGTGGCTCCGACATTGCGCAAGATTCGCAACCGCGGGATCTTAGTCAATATTGACCGACTGTTTCCTGTCAACAGATGTTTCTCGGATCTTCCATCTCATATGGCGCAGCTGAATGTGCCGGACGAGATTTTCTTTAGATGGTATGCCTAGTCTGCACGAGACGTCGAGCCTGTCAAAGGTAAGTCAATCTGGAAACCAATAGCAGAATCAATCGTCTTCACATGACCTTCTCAGTCACTTATTTAACGCACTGCAACCGCATTCATCTTATCTTGTGTTCTTTCTTTTGTCAGAAGCATACCAGGGCATTGTATTCACTCGTGATATCACAGCCTTGTCGCCTCTTTAAAGAGCAGGAGCGCCGTGGGGGCTCTTTCCCGTGAGAAAGAATCTTCATACATCAGCTAGCCTTATCATCAACGGCCTGTATTCCTACCAGACATTTCCACTTTCTACGATTTGTGCCTCGTATTACTTTTACATATTTCCCAGCTTGACCAGTTTCTATCGACGTAACGCTGGCCTTCGCGATGACGCGTCGCAAGTTTCGTGCCGATGTGGCAGCCGCCATAAATATATCAATCCCGGGCATTTCTTCTGTGAGCCTTGGCCCTGATGACGGTGAGGTCGTTTGCATCTACACTAGTAATCGATCTGCGGCTCAGATACCTCTACGTCTCACCACTGCAAGTGTCGACGACTATCCGCATCATCAAGGCTTCCACGGGAGCACCGAATGCGATGATATTCCCAGCAGTATCATGGGTATCCTTGGCCGCCTTGTCTACTCGACGCAAGGCAGGTCAGTGATCGACAGCCTCGCGATCCTTTCGAACCAGCTGGAAACCGCGCTTGGGTCGGCTGCCACGGCGCAGAAATCTGAAGACCATGTCTCTGTTGCCGATGCCACCGACTCTTGGCCTGAGGATGAGATCGACGGTGACACGGATGTTGAATTTGAGGACTATGATCTCGAGATTCACGACAATACAGCAAGTGGGATAGACTTGCATCCTATCGCGGCTAGCAGCCAGAACCAAGTCAAGAGGAATGTTCGCCTACGCGAGGATCTCGCCAAGGCAAGAGAGGTTGGCTTCGGATTGGCCTTTGGCCCAACGATGACATAGTCTCGCTGAGCCTCAGAAATCGGAAAGCTGGGCCTCTCCGGGGAGAACGCTTCCAAGCCTGGCATGTCGAAGCCGAACCGACTACATTGTTCTCCTTTTTCACGGTAT